GTCGCCGACTATCACTAATTAAACCATACCTAGTTTTATCCGCCTGTCTCTGTATTCTGTAATCTGCATTAAAACATTATTACATGCCTATTAGGCATTCCAACGACCTGTCCAAATGGCTACCAGTGGAGACTGACAGTTTTGATATGGCAACCCTGTTGTCATGTTGTCATTAACAGAGTCAATGATACATATATAGTTATATAGATTGCTTAAAGCTGGTCGTTTGCAAACGGCCATACTGCCTGGCAAATATTTATTAATTTTAGCAAAAATGTGTTTTAAAACCAATTTTCATCTTTTAGATATTTAAAAAGAAATAAGTGCTTACATTTTTACTTCAAGGCATAATCTTATATTTATGTTGAAAATATGGATGATCAATCTATGTAACTATCTATTTCATTGACCTTGTTAAATCACCAGGCCTACAGGGTTGCCATAATTTTGCCATATCATAACCTGTCAAAACCCACTGGTAGCCATTCAGTTTGGAATGCCTTATTGTTGTGATTCATTTTTAGAGGTTGCCATAAATACAACAAAAAAACTACTATGATTATGGTTTAAAAGAATTGTCTATCAAGAGTATATAATAATTATTGACTATCTCTGCAAATAGTTTATACAATGCCATCCTTCTTCCTTTCACACATACACAATGTTTAAAAGGTAGGTAAAAATATTAATAATTTAGGTCTAAAAGCTAGGTTCACAATGAATTAGAATTGTACTTTTCAGGGAAAACACAATCATCGCTGTCATGACTTATGTGATTTTTTTGAATATAAAATAATTTTTTTGGCCACTTTGCTCAGGATAGGGATTGGCACAGGTGCAATTTGGTAAAGTACAATGTTGTTACATCCCTTTGGAGCATATTTCATTTCGTTATCAGATGACGGTCGAAATTTGCAGTGGGCTCTCATACTACCATTGTCCACATTATTTTTGGAAAGAGATTATTATGATTATGATTAAAAATGTAGGTCTGCAAATAACAAAACCAATATAAACCATAGCAAACTACTTTATTTGGGAGGTAATATAACAAGGCCTCTTTTATAAGCGAATAAATTTATCGATTTTGCGGAAAATAGTTTCGTTTTATACTTTGAATATATTTTTATTTATTAATAGTACAATCATTAAAACACAATTGATTACTATAAAACGTCAAAATAATTAATTTCAGTTTAAAATTTAGTGTAGCAGAGGACCGAGGTTCAAACCCCCGACAGGTTAGTTTTTTAATTTTTCTTTTTTTTTTTAAACTTTTCATAATCATAAATTAATCGATTACATATTCGTTATGAAATAATATTTATTGTTTCTTTTCATTTAAGTATCGTGTAAATTTCTAAGTTTTAGTACCTGAGGTACAAAAAATAGCGTAATTACCACGAGACTAAAGTGCGTTTTAGTCCCTCTCGGGATTGAAAGTGGCACTTTAGTCCCTTGGTACATAATATACTATTGTACCTTGATGTATACTATTAAAAGTTCTGCTGTTTTCTAAGTTTGTAATGTTCTTTTATATTACTTAACGCGATCATGTCATAAACCTAAAATGAGTAATACTTAAGAGTGTTTTGAACAATCCATGGTGAACTTGCATGTGAGGTAAAAATTTGTCATAATTATAGTATTGAATCTAACCTAGAATTTATTAAAATAATAAATAATATAAATGTTTTAAAAACATGAATTATTAATACAGATTTCATATAAAATTAAATAAAAATATTTATAAGTATCCCATACTGAAAAATATGAATAAGGAGAGGAAGTGTTTCCGGGTTATTCCTAATGATTTAGTAATCGTTTCCGCATTAAACATCATAATGACAGGCCTAACCCTAAAGTAGTGTCTCGTAGGTACTAAATAAATGTAATACAAAGATTAACGAATATATTAAAATATTGCAACAGCAGATTAAACCTAGCATGAAAACCACAATTAACCATGTGTGCGTAGATGGAATGGAATGGTATGGAATAAATTCAATAACTTTTAAAATAAGCTAGTTTACAGAAAATCTTCGGATATTTTTTGTTTTTAAATACGCATTTTTACTATTTATAACGTCAACATTTTCCATGAAATAATGTGTTTTTAAATGGTAATAATATTGAAAATTTTTAAGTTAAGTAAAGTTATTAATTAATGATACTCCTTAAGCCTAGGCTTAAGGGTGTACACAAACCAAACTCCGTCTACCCCATTTGTACTGGGGATAGGGGGAGTAACGGTATTTTTCTAAAAGTTACATTTTTCACATGGTGCCTTAAGCACACATGTGGAACTTTAAATTTGATATTATCTTTTATAACCACCTTCATTAGATGGAGGCAGGCGAGGTTCAAGATTGAACAATATCCAACCTCGAATGAGGGAGGCAGTACGTGCCAAGTTATATAATTTTTACAATAATTTTTACAATTTAAAATTTTAATTCAACATATTTAATTTTTTCTGTGGAAACATAGTGGTAAGACACCTAGCATTTCTATAAAAAACGTTTTGTTATCCTAAATTATTATTGCAGATTGTACCTACCTACCTACTCACTTACAAAAAAAATTTTGTCTGATGATGACCTTTTAGGTCGAAAGCGCTTGCAACCCAACCTAATAAATTTATGTGGTCGACAGACTTTGAGCCTTTTACTTCCCTTTAAAAGTTGTTTGTTATTTTATTTTCTATAATTCTTGTTTTATACATAATTTCTGTAAAATGGACCGTATTCGAGATATTGAAAAAAATGTGTAAATTTTGAAGGAAACTCAAAAACGGATAAACAAAAAAATACCAAAATTTTAACTTAAACTTTATTCTGGCCTGCGGTGAACTGATTAGATTTTTGGCAGAGTCGGAACATCTGGGCGTGGTACTTTATAGGGGTAATTTTTATATTTTGTGGAATATGCCTGTTAGTTACGTTTGAAGAAGAAAATTCTTTAAATTAAAGTTACTTCTAATATTATTCTCTATAATTTTTGTTCCATACACAATTTTCTCAAAATAATCCGTAATCAAGAAATTTGACAAAATGTGCAAAATTCTTATTTTTAAGAAAATTGTTAAACTAAAAGTTGTTTGCGATATCGAGCTCTATAATTTTTGTTTTTTATATAATTTTTCTAAAATGGAACGTAATGGAAAAATTGGAGGAAAAGTGCTAAATTTAAATTTTTCAATATTTTCGTTTTTAATGAATATCTATAGAAAAATATTTCGACTTAGATGTAGTATGTGGAAAATGTACATATTTAGTTTATCCTCTAAACATTTATAGAGGTGCTGCAATGGGTTGTACAAAATAACTGGAAAAAGCCTATAATAACTAGATAGGAAAGTCATGTGTTGGACACGTCAGATTTTTTTTTAATATTATTTTCGTGGTATACCAATGTCAAAGAGCATCATTTAATTAATACGCCCGGTAGTGATTTCTTTTTCCTTTTTAAAAATATATTGAGATATATCTTTAAAATATCCTATTATTATTATCATGTAAAACCTAATGCTTGTGTGATTAAAAAATACACCAGTCATTTACATTGGCCTAATATATAGTGCTAATGTTAACCCTCAGCCCCCTTCCATTTCTAAATTTCGTTATTATTTTTAAAACAAAGATGCATTTTAATGAAATATTTTTGTGCCAATACTATTTCTATTTCTACGAAAAAAATAAGACATATCCGGATTTATAACATGGATCGGCATCACTGCAATATATCCGTCGAGTGCACAAAATGCGATCACCTATGAGTCAGTAGCAGAAACTTCGGTCCAAATTATCGAAAATAGTTTAGAGAAAGTTTTTGGTTTATCGCTGTTATTAAGAGTTCGAATATAAGGTCGTTTTAAACTGCCACCTTAAAGTATAATCCTACTACACTTTTTGAAACTAAGTTTTATAACCTACTTAAGATAACTGCTAAAAAGTGTGCCTCTTTAACACCAAACATACCTTGTCTTAAGTACTATTATCTTGAGACCATTACTTATTAATTAGTTATTATTAATAATTAGTTATTAATTAACCCTTATAGGACAGCGATAAAGCATAATTTAGTTTAAGATGAACTAGTTTTCTTAAATATATTTCAAGGAATCTATAAAACCAAACAATAAAATCAATTTAACCTAGAAGTCCTATTAGCAAAAAAATAACAACTTTAATTAAATTATTAATAATTTTTATGCCGTTATAAAATCCCAATAAAACATAAATAAAACTTGTTTCTCCTAAAAATGTTACTTGGGTAGCTACATAAAAAAGTATTAATTCCACAGTATTTATTCATAATTTAGCAGATTTTGTTTATTTTTATAAAAAAAACATACAAGAAATAAAAATTGATAATTTGTTATATTTCAAATAAAATTTATACACATGATTCATTTTTTTAATTTATTTTCATTTTAGAAAATATTTATTTAGTACATATAGCCAAAAACAAATAGCCTTTTGTGGTATGCCCTCCATTTAATTCCTTTTGGAAAAATTTAAAATAAAAATGTATTAAATAAATTTTGTATTTGGAAATAAGTATTATTAAATATTATTATATATACATTTTATATTATTATTTCCTTTATGTTCTTTATTTTATAAATAAAATTTAATTTTTTTTTTTTTAGATGTTTCATTGTCTGATGCTTCAAATAAGATTCTTCGTATATAGTAATAAACAAATCGTAGACTTGTTAACTCTTGAGTTGGTCCAAACCCCATGTGGCTGTCTCCTAGATAATCCACAGAATTCCGTCCCGTCAGGGATTTCTATCATCAAATTACGGTTTTCCGCAATTTAGTCAAAGTCAAGTGGATTCATACCATTTCCATTAGAAGGATTAGGGTGGGTCGGGAGGTAGTTTCTCTATAAATACTTTCTTCAAAATAGTAAACGCATTACTTCACTTGTAGCCTGTCGGTGAATAACTTGCTCAGTTAGTTAGCTTCGGTGAGACTTTATTATTGTCTAAAATGGTGTTGTTATTTGAAAATCGTGTCGAAGGATTACCTGCCGTTACGTATTCGGTGAATTTAGTTGAGGATCCAGGAATGTTGGCGTCCATTAGTAAAGTAGAAAATCGTGAAGCTGATTCTGGGACCAGCAGTCCGACAGAGCAATGTTCGTGGAACCAAGAGGTATGTTTGTCTTTTTATAGTATTTTTTTATAAATAATTTAGAAAGTTTTACACATTTTGAAGGAACCATTTTCTTGATTAAACATTTAATGTTCAAAAATTAAATGTAGTGTAGAGCAATGTTTACCTAGTAGTAGATTCTTATAGTTTGTGTTTGCTATTTTTAATATTTTAAAACTTTGTCAATATTATATTTTTTTAAATAAATTTATCTATATGAATTTTAAAATAAAATTTTGTCTTTTTCATTGTGTACCTATTGTGAAATAGTTTTTAATTATAATTTTATTTACAGATGAATTGTGATTCAACTTGGATTACAAGGAAGTCTCCTTCATACAATAGTTCAAATCATAGTGATCCGGGTAAGTTATATTCCTAATTTATATTACTTAAAATTAACAAAAAAGCACATTTGATTATGTATAAACATTGAAATAGTATTTGTTTCTACACCCACAAGGATATTAGCTTAGACGCAGACTACAAAAACAAAAATTATTGTATTGCTTTCAACTAAACGAATATATTTTAGATCAATTCTAGGCAGTGAAAGGACTGCAAAAAAATGAAAACCACCATTCACAGTTCATATTTTGGTCAACTCACTACTATTATTTTTAAAATTTTAAATAAGTGACAATTCTGTCACACTAATTTTCTGTACTTATATTTTTTAGTTACTGAGATTAAATATACATTAAAATGAGTTACTTTTGTGTAGAATTGATAAATAATAGCATTTATATTTTTAATTCGTTTATATGTATAAATAATTCGTTAATTTAAAAAAAAATCTATGAATTTAAGTTAATTACTGTATTAAAATAAAAATATTAGCTCCTCCATGGTGGTAAGGTCAAAACACTTGCCTTTTATGCAAAAGGCCCGGGTGCAAATCTAGAATAGGGACAAATTAAATTAATTTCTTTATTTTATTTTATAAATTAATAAAAGACAAATAATTTTGACATTTGACATATTTTATCTTAATAATATAAAATAACTTTTAATATTTGTAGATTTTCATTAGTGGATCCTAGAAACAGTATACTGTACAACTCGATTGCACAAACTACTATTTCATTACCAAATAGTTTCCAGATTTTTTGTATTTTATTTTAATGCAAATTAGTATTTTTGATATCAAATGAAAAAACCTAATTTTTGGAAATTAGGACATATACCGACTATTATTATAAGAAGAATAATTAGAGAATCAAATTTTTTAAAAATGTATACTTTAATAATTCGGCTTATTGATTTTTGATTTAAATTTTTGTAGTACCTAGGTAATAAACGGAAATAACGTTTAAAAATTGAAAAAATATATTAGATAATCTATTATCAAGTTTTCTCATTCTAATTCATATTCTCGTTAAAGAAAAATATAATTTCACATAGAATAAGCTTAAATTTATATATACAGGGTGTCCGGATATTAATGCTTGACAGACGATAGTTCTTGCAAGCTGATAAAAAATAAAGTAGAACGAAAACCCGTTTAGTGCGCAATTTTCGACCTTTCAAGCTGTGTCGGTCAAATAACCGGACACCCTATATCAATTAATCTATGTTTAAAATTGGTAATTTGTTTTTCTACTGTTAAAATCAAAAACTACATCTTTATCGTGCTAAAGATTTCTATTTCTGGCACTTTCTGAACGCTTTTTCCCACCAACTGTATAAAAAAATCTTGGTAAAATTGCATAGATTTATAGTTGCATACTCCTTTATAAATCTATTTATATTATAATAAAAAACTTTTATTTGCAACGTTTTTAATAATATTGCTATTTATTTCAGAACCGTCTCCTCCTTTAAGAACAAGACGAGTAAGAACTGCTTACACTACCGAGCAACTGGTCCACTTAGAAAAGGAATTCCACTACAACAAATACCTATGTCGCCAGCGTAGAATACAATTGTCCCAATATCTCAATCTCAGCGAAAGACAAATTAAAATCTGGTTCCAAAATCGTAGAATGAAGATGAAGAAGGATAAACAAAATAATTCAACTTACCAGTTGGACAATTTGAAACATAAAACAACTATAAAGGCGGAAAACGCAGATATTGTAAGTCGTTTGTTAAATCATTCTGCTCTGGTACAAAAGAATCAACATTTAAACCAAGTTGTTGAAAAGCCTCAAGAGGTACCGTTAAGTTGTTACGAAAATAGTACTTTGCCTGTCACTAATTCGCAAATACCAGCGGCGTCCTTTGTTAAAGACGAGACAATGTATCAGGCTAATTATTATGGAAACCAATACTACTCCGAATCCATTTGCCAGCAAAATAAGGAAAATGATTACAACTTCCCCACCAATGTAGAAGTCAGTGGATATGTCGATAATACATTTGTGTATGACTATGGATACGATTATAATGGCTACAATATGGGTAACACTTATGAACAATTTGATAATTTTGCTGCTACAGCTGTGGGCTTAGCGAATCTTTAATACATTGTAAGTTTGTTAATTAGTTTTAGAATTATTGTAATCTATATGTAAATAAATATTTTTTTGTACATTTATTATCTTTAATTTATCAAAATTATTACAAATGTCAAATATCTAGTAAATGAAAATAAATAAATTTAGAATAAATTTAATACATATTTCAAATACTAGCGTTTTTTTTTTTTAATTCTCAGACCTATCGCGATTTTTTACATACAATAGTAATGTATTTAGAGATAGGCCGTCATCGTTGATATTTTAAAACGGCAACACTGCCATTCTAATGGCTACTTTTATAGGGTTTGTAAAGTTGTACATAACTGCCAAATATTAAATTTTTATTCTATACCAATTACTTACAAGAATATAAAAAGTAACAAATTTGTGAAAAATAAGTTATCAAATCTATTTGATTTAATTAATTAAATTAAGCAAATGCTCATAATGTTGTTCATTTACTATTTGACAATGTCCTAAATGCGATCGAAATTTGTTTTGAATATTTATAACGACTTGGGGCGAAATTAATCTACACTCATTTCTTATTCGTGCTTTTAGCTTCTCAATATTTGCCGATTTGATTTTAAAAACTTTGTTTTTCAAGTATTCCCATAAGAAAAGTTCAAAGGATTGAGATCTGGGGATCTCAGTGGCCATTCAATAGGTCCCCTACTAGCTATCCCCCTGCCTGAAACTACAGCTTCGAAATACACACGAACAGGTCTTGCGAAATGGGAAGTCGCAGCATCTTGTTGAGACCAGATGTCTCTATTGGGAACATTAGCATGTTCAGGGTTAGGAAACAAATTAGCCAATTGTTTTCTTGCAAGAATGCCAAATATCGTGCTACATAACTGCATAACTTGAGTTTCTATAATCCCTGCCAAAACATTCACTTTTTAGAAGCATTATATGTATGTCCTTTTCTTATCCAGCGTGGATTGTCATCCGCCCAATATCCACAATTTTGTTTATTTACTTCACCATTTAACATAACCTAGAATCGTCAGAAAACACAATGTTTTTCACTAGAATGTTGTTCGTGTCTAGTTGATCTATAATTTGTTCACAAAACTGCAGTCTCCTGTCAGGATCATCTTCCAGTAATTTCTGGAGGTTTGTAAGGATGCAATTTATCTGCTTTAAGAAATCGTGCTACTGACTAATTTCAACATAATTAGATATCTGCCTGATAGAGATATTAGGACTTTCTTAAACAGATAGTAGTACATTCATTTTGATATCTTCACTAAAGACAGTTTGTCGAGGAGTACTTGTTTTTCTTTCATGCCTGTTTTCCCTAAATTATCTTTCTATTTTACTTACAATACTTTGTGATATGGGTGGCAGATCGGGATATTTTTCGCTTCTGTTCTTGCTCTATCTCCATATCATTTGTAAAATTTCAATCTTGAGCTTTTCAGTTAAATAAACCATATTGAACGATTCTTCCAATAGAACTGACTTTATTAATAATCGATATTTATTTTTAAACTTCAAAACATTTGTTGACTTGACAAAACCTAGAATACTGTTTTTTTTTTTTTTTCATAAAACGAAGTCTCAAGACATGGCATTTTCCAATTTGATTTTTCTTATAATTAGTAACGAATAAAAATTTGATATTTGGCAGTTATATACAACTTTACAAATCCTAAAAAAATAGCCATCAAAATGACTGTTGCCATTAAACAAAATTAACGATGACATCGTATCTCTAAATTGGGACACTTTATACATTATTATTGTATGTAAAAAATCGCGATTGGAAATACTAATCAACGGGTCCGAGCATTTTTCAAAAAAAAAAACATTAGTATTTGAACTATTGAATTTATTCCAAATTACAGACTCTCTCTGTATATAATTTATCTTATTTGTTAACACAGATTCTAAATCATTAAGAAAGTAAAGGTTAACGAAATTTCAGATATAATAGGCCAGTCCATAAAGACAACCAATTTTAAAAATTTTACAATAATTACAAAATTTTTCAAACTTTGTAATAATAATCGTCTAGTTTAGGGGTCCCCAAACTTTCCAGCCTTAGGGCCATACTAATTACCCCAGTACGTTCCAAGGGCCAAAACCGTTTTAATTTTTCTGCAATTATCTATAATTTATAGACTAATAGCCTCGTACGCGCCCCGAGTGGGCATACGCTTACTAAATTCGCTAGCTGAATTACGTGCTGTTGTGAATTGTTACGACCGTGTCGAAATCTGGTGGTCAAAAGCTGAAATAGGTAGTTCTAGTACCCTCTATCGCTAACAGATGGCGCTAGAATACTTTTGAAATCGCAGTAACACCGTGAGTTCGAGTAGAAAGTTAGGTTGCTCTGAGTTCATTTTCGTGTTTTTTTTAGAGATTCGGAGTGTGATCTGTCGCGTTCGATATGACTCTGAGTATGGACTCCGAGTGAACCCTTTTAACTCTGTGTTAGAAGATCTGTCGGGAAGTTAAACAATGAAATGTCAATTATGTCACTGAACGCCACATATTATTGTTGTGGGTTTGTGCTAGGTAATATTTGTATTTTAAAATTATTTAACTGATATAGATTATTGTAAGTAAATTCTGGAAGTATATTTTATTGTAATGCATATTGTGAGATTCTAAGGACCACCCTCGTTTGATTTACCTTTTTGAACTTATAACTCACACATGGCTACCACCTTCAACTTTAATCATAATTATTAACTGACCGTTGACTGACATACTGGATTGAGGTTATGATGTTTACTTTGAGTGACAGAGCGCGTTCAAGATGTTACTACATTCGCTCTCTGACTTGACAGGACTCTGCTCATGCCCTGCCCACTCTATAGAGCTTCATCTCGAACTTGCTTAGTTAAACACTTAGAGCATATAAGACTAGAGGTTTTTTTTTTCAAATGGGTTTGTTATGTATTGAGGGGAGTAACTCCTTCGGTGTTAGCACAGAAGAAAGAACAATACAGAAAAGAAAGTAATGGTCGGAACTTTGAAGTCGAAGGGATAGAAATATTTGACCTTGAGTTCCACCACAGAGATACTCTGAGAAAACGTAACTATTCACAGTACACGCGAACGTAGCTATTCACTGAACCTACACTGCGAAAACTACATTTCTCTTTTACAGAATTATGTGTCATATTTTATTAAAATTTGCATGAATGAATTTTAAACTCTTCTTGATTTAAGTAAAATATTTTTCAATTTGTAGCACTTCCGACAGAGGTTTCAAAAATAAATATTATAATAAACTATTAATAGCAAGTAGCAAACTTTTTGTAATATTTAACTATATTTTTTATTATTTACCTTGCAAAACTATGACTCTTTTCATAGGTTCTGAGTATAGAAATAATGATGGGAATGCATGTGCAAATAATCGTTTTCTTGCTCCTGACTGATAAACGAATTTATCCTGAAAGTGCAGTTCACAAATTTTGTAATGTTTATTTAAGTATTCAACACTCTTTCCCAATAAGTTCTCTCTATTTGCTGCCTTAAGCCACAATTCAAGTCTGAAAAATACATACAATCATTGTACTACAATGGTAAGGCAAGGTCAATTCCTATTTCACACTCAATGTTTCATACATACCTCACTGGATCTTTCACAAGAGTGAACAATCCTTCTCTGTCACCTGTTCTTGAGGTACATCCACGATAAATACAAGTATACCCTCCTCCTCTTTGACGCGGTATTGTTTATAAACCTAATCTTAATACGTACAGTAAAGTCTTAAATGAACACTCCAAAATTAAAAACAGCAACAAAAACTAAAAATAAACCACTAACAAAATGTAAAAGTTATTAGAATATTTGCTAAAACCAACCAAAAATTTACTTTAATATTCAAAATAAGTTATTAGAATATATGTATACATATGTGGTACAGGTAGACGTAAATATTACTTTACATAATATGTGGTTAAACATCAGCCTTTACCGTATTTAAAATGGAGATTTTCTTAATTGCGTTTTATCTGTACTCTCATACTTTTACGACTTTTTAGTTTTAAAAAGCTCCTGCTATACTTTTTAAAGCATTTCATAAAACAAAACTGAAACCCCCAATAACACATTCTTAATATATTTCTCACTCACTGATTTAATCAATTCAATATTTAGGAGGAGATAATGTAACCTCAATCTTCTGCTCGTTATTTACTCTACGAACAAGAGATTTAAAATATAAAAATAAATATTAATATAATAAATGACCATTGTTTTCTTTCACTGGTCATTTCCAAAATATTAGGGGCCTTGGAATGTCTCCTTGGCATTTGTTCAACAAAGGTATAAAATAAATTTATTTAAAATTAAAAAACATTTTTTATATTTATTATGGAATTTTTTTGTGACATTTTCTCTGGAAATTATCACTTTTCAATGTTTTTAGTAATTTATCTTGCAACCTCAACATAATGTGACTGACTTGCAAAGCTTTGGTTCCAATTAAAACTATTAAGTTTTAAAAAAGCCATGTCGTTTACTAGATTAAATAAATTATAAGATATATGTTTAATGTTATGGTACTTATGGTTTATATTTAATTAAAGAAAATGTACATAAAAGATTCTAGGATCAATTTAATTTAAAGTTTAATCCTAACACCCTTTTTGAAAGTAAGTTTTATAACCTATATACTTAAGATAACCGCTAGAAAGTATACCACTTTAACACCCAACATATCTTATCTGCAGTACTAGTATCTTAAGACCATTACTTATTAATTACTTATTAATAATAATTACTCATTAATTAACCCTTATAGGACAGCGATAAAGCATAATTTACTTTAGGATGAACTAGTTTTCTTAAATAGATTTAAAGGAATCTATAAAACCAAACAATAAGTTGAAGTTAACTTAGAGTTCTATTAGCAAAAAAATAACAACTTTAATCAAATGTAATTAATAATTTTTTTGCCTTTATAAAATCCCAATAAAACATAAATAAAACTTTTTTCTCCTAAAAATGTTATATTGGGAATAGGCTAGTAATACAC